TTGGCCAGGCTGGTCTCAAACTCCTGATCCGCCTGCCTTGGCCTCTCAAAGTGCTAGGATTACAGGCGTGAGCCACTGCACCCGGCCAAGTGTGGTCGGTTTCTGGTGAGGGTTCTTCCTGGCTTATAGATGGCTGCCTTCTAGCCATGTCCTCACGTGTTGGGGCAGGGGTCGGGGGCTGCAGGGAGAGAGCAGTGCCCAAGCTCTCTGTGATTAAAGGGCACTAATCATGAGGGTCCTGCCCTCATGACCTCATCTAACCCTAATTACCCCTCAAAGGCCCCATCTTTACATACTATCACATTGGGGGTTAGGGTTACATGAATTTGGGGGAGGGGACATGATTCAGTCCATAGCAAGGACCAGTCCTATGCTATTTTGTCCATCTGTGGAGGGTGCTTGGGATCAACACTGAGGATCTTGTCTCCCACTGGGCAGGCCAGGGATCCAGCAGGGACGTCACGACAGCTCTGTCACAGACCTGCTGTGGTGGCAGGGCCTGCCAAGGTGTCCAGGTGACCGCCTGCCTCTCGTTTCCCTCCCCAGGACCCTTCTTTCCACCTCAGCCTGGCCTGGTGCGTGGGTGATGCACGTCTCCAGCTGGAGGGGCAGTGCCTGCAGGAACTACAGGTGAATTTCCAGGGCGGGAACACAGAGCGCGCTGAACTCCAGAAATGACGGGACAGATGCTGGAGAGGAGGAGGATGAGGCACCCAAACCCGAATCCCTGGGAAACAAATGACATGGCAGGAGACCCCAACACCTTCCCTTGCAACTCAAGGTGTGGCCCCTGGACCGGCAGCTTCAGCGTCACCTGAAGCTTATTAGCAATACAGATCTTTACCCCCCCAAACCCCCGACCTAAGAAATCAGAATTACATTTTAACAGATCTCTAGGGATTTGTGTGCACATTACAGTTTGGGAAGCACTGCCCTAGAACCCTGATCTGCGAGGAGGCTGCAGGCTTCCCCTGAAGTCCTAGCCACTTGCCCAGGGGTCAGAGGCTTGGGCCTGGCACTGGAAATGGGTGAAATGTACCAGGTGTAAGGAGCATCCAGCCCCCAGAATCTATCAAATTTTGATAAGTAGCTGAAAGATTCCACTTTCCCATGTGCATTCTTGGAGGAGAACCAGCAGGTTACATGAAGTGGTAAGTGGTGGCTGATACTCCAGCCCCGGCTGGGGAGACAGTAGGGAGTATGGCCATGCAGGAAGGTTGGCCTAGAGTTGCCAACACTTCTGCTTCATAAGAGAAGCCAGAAACCTAGGTTTTTACATGTAATCTTGTCAGTTTTCAAATGTCAGCAACTAATTTGGATGTTTAAAAAACATTTTGCAAGCCAAACCAAACATGTGCAGGCTGGACGCAGCTGTGCTCCCTCATTAAGGAGCCGCCTTGCTGTTGGCCTGATGTTGCTGGAGGTGGCAGAGAGACCTGTGTCCCAGGCCTGGTTTCATTGGTTTCTGTAATCCAGGGCTCTGAGCATCTGTGTCCTCATCTGTAAAGTTGGGATGATGGGACCAACCTCAGATATTACAGAAGTGATCAGACAAGATCAATAATGCAGAGCCTGGAGCCTGCAGCCTCTGAAGTTGGGTGAGCTGGTTTTGTTTGCAGTGCCCTCTGGGTCCCAGATGCCCCTTAATGTGACTGTCCTCCCCTGGCTGCTGTTTTAAGGCAATCGTGGATGGGTTTGAAGATGCTGAGGTGCTGCTGCGTGTGTACATCGAGCAAGTCCGCTGCAAGTCTGGGAACAAGTTCTTCTCGATGCCTTTGAAGTGAGCACCAGAGGCCTTCCTCCTCCAGGGCCCTCTGCAGACCAGGCTGAGATGGAGGAACCTGCTAAAATCAATGGAGATGCTTCTAGCCTCCCAGTAGGAGGTCCCAGCCATGCCTTCAGCCTGGCAGAAAGTGTAGCCACTCCTCATCCTCCGAGTGCTCGCTCTCGCTCTCGCTCTCTCTCCCGCTCTCTCTCTCTCTCTCCCCCCCCTCCCTCCCTCCCTCCCCCTCTTTCTCTTTCTCTTCCCCTCCCTCTCTCTTCCTCTCCTCTCTCTCTCCTTTCTTTCTCTCTTCTCTGGGCTGTTGCGGGTTGCAGGTTGGGTGCGACTGTGTTGTGGTCCTTCCCAGAAACTGCCAGTAGAGGGCAGCCTGGGCATCCTAATTCTTAATCTGGTTGTTAAGCAAAGAAAATACTGGGGTCAGTGGTGAGCCCACCCACACTCGCCAGAATCTCCACTGTAGTCCCCGTAACAAACAGCCCTTCACTCCCTCTCCCACTTCAGCAATTTGTATTTTGATGCCATTGGCCTCAGATCAGAGTGTTTTAAATCATCACGCCCTGGCTTATCCCTGGCCAAGCCAGGACACGGGGTGCTTCAGTGGGTCTGTCACCCTCTCTCCTTGAAGCATGTCGCTTTTATTTATTTACTTTTACTCTCACCCTGCTCCTGTGCCAGCAGGGGCTACTTCAAGGCCAAGGTCCAGGATGAGAACTTGTGACCCAGCCTCAGTTTTCTCCACTTCTTTCTCCCTCTTTCTCCCGCTCACCCTAGCAAGGTGCCTGGGGAGACTTGAACAGATGTTTCATTTTGGCCTGGCCAGTGGCTGAAAGCCAGTTCTTCAATGCACTGTGACCTCTGGCTTCCCCAGCAGCTTTCCCAGAGAGGCAGAGGGGCCTTCCACAGCCCGGGTTCTGCTGCTGCCTCCTGCCTGCTGCAGCGCAGCTGCAGCGTTCTGAGGGGCAACGTGGAAGAAGGGCCAGGGATGCATGGGAGTTTACCTTTTTCATCAAACCTTCCGCGTGGCAAGGAGTCAGGCAGTCCTCTTCAGGTGTCTTCGGGATTTCTGGTGATGGATAGAGAAATCTTTTTGTGTTACAGTTTTAAATTATGTTCAACAAATAAAAAATTGCGTTTCTTATTTTGGATCTTTTTTGGACTACTTGTATTTAGCCCAGTGAAAAGATGACTTTCACCTTCCCCTACCCTGTCCAGCTGTGTCTCTCAGTTTGGGGGGACTCTTGGAAGTCTCTACTGTGACTTCCAAGGTGGCCTTGAGAGGCATTGATGATGCTTCAGTAAAATAAGGGTAGGGAGGAGTCACCCGGCCTGCAAGGTCTACACACAGAGTTCTCACATAGCACATCTAGCCTGGAGCTAGGCGTGTGGCAGGGGTCACCACCCTCATCCCTCACCCACATAGGCAGACATTGACACCTTATACTGCTGTGACACTGAGCGCTTCCCGGAACCTTCTCGTGTCTTCCTCCCAGTATCCCCCCTGAAAGGCAAACAGGGTGGGGATGCCTAGTCCGCTGTTAAAAGAACAGGTTAAGTGACTTGCTTGTATGAGAAATCACAAGGAAGGGTCGTACTCAGCCCTAACCTCAGGTCCTGTGCTGGGGTAGCCTTGATCCAGCCCAGCACACCACCTCATGGTCAGGCCTGGCATCTGAGTGGGGACACAGGGCTTGAGGGAAAGTTGTGGGGCGAGGGGCCTGTTGCCCAGGCTCCCATGGTGGCCCCCACTGCCCCGCCTTTCCTGAAAGGGGCAGCCTCCCAGCCGCTGCACTGAAAGACCCAGGCACATTCTGGGCCTTGTTCCTGCTCCCCACTGCATTGATCTGCTGACTCCAACTCATCATTGGGTTGCTTCTTCTGGAGAGGAGGAAGATGCCAGGCATCCTTTCTGGCTTGCAGGCAACACGGCAACTCTGGCTGTGCAGCCTGTACTTAACTGACACCTGCCCTGTGCCAGGCCCTGAACTGGGCACTTGGTGAACCAGACTAGGTCTGCCCTCTGGGTGCTCACAGCAGGGCTGAACAGGCAGGGAGCACAGAGAAGAATCCGCATCCTCAACATGGCACTTCCCCAAACTTGGGTACTGGCTCTTATTGGGAGGGGGGCAGGTGTGAGGTAAGACCTCCATCAACAAGCCCAGGAAGAGGGACGGGGCCATTCACCCCAGGGGAGGATGTGGCTGGGGAGTCCGTCTGTGCTGAGGATGGAATTTGAGTGTAGCAACTTTGAGAAATGGGCCAAGATCAATAACCGGCTCCTCAATGGAGAATGGAAGGTGGCAATGGAGTAAGGAAGCAGGAGCCTTGCTGAGGGGGAGGGGTGGGCAGGCTGGGCCTGAGGAGGAGGCTGGCGGCAGGAGCTTGGCGGGCACCCAGACACTGAGTGTGCCTCTGGAGCAGAGTGAGCCCGCTGAGCAAGCGCTCCCGCTGACAGTGCAGAAGCAGCCGGGGCTCTTCCATAAGAGGAGATTCTCCATAAGAGGAGAAACCTCGGAGACAACTCTGGAGACACAGGGAAGACCAGAGCAGGCTGCAGTCCCCGCCAGGCAGGCTGGCCCAAAGAAATGCTCTTGATGAGGATTTTATCACACCAGGGAGAGTACAAAATCAACACATCTGGCCTCGGTGTCCTCAGATGTTCCCCACAGGGCAGGGAAATCATCTCACGCCTGTTTGGCTGATTTCCACCTGGCACTCTCCAGCGCCTCTCCAGACCACCCCAGCTTTATTTCCAAGGGAGAGGGAAATTACCTTGGCTTGTTTGTTTATTCCTTGTCTTGGCACCAAGAGTCCCAAGGCCTGCTTCACCTTTGATGGTGTGTTGGGTGGGTGCATCGCCTGAGGGGCCCCTGGAGGGGAGAGCTGGAGGAGGGGGTGTCCTGGGCCCAGTTCCAGTCCACAGCTACTTTCCTTCACCGAACAGGAGACCTCCCCTACGACCTCAGAACTCTCCTTTCGCAAATGAGGAAACAAACCCAAAGAGGGGAATAACTTGCTCCGATTGCCCAGTAAATTACAGCTGAGGCAAAAACCCAGGGACCTGGCTTCTGATCCAGAGCTTTTTACAACCCCTCACACCACATCGGGACCTCTAAATGAAACTGCTGTGAAACACCATGTCTGGGCTTTCATTCAAAAGACTAAGAAAAAAAGGTGTGTGGTGGTGGGCGGGGGTGTCAGGGCATAGATGAAACGATATTGGCAAAATATGGATAAGGTTTAAAGTTCTTGATGGAGGGGCTGGAGTTCACACATCTCAGTCCCACTGACTAGTCCTTTTGGGCTTTGGGTGCTGGCCAGACCCAGTAGAAACCCAGCTTTCTTGGGTTGGATGTAGATGCAAATCCACCTTGGATTCCCAAAGTACCTATAGGAGCCAGACCCAATAATTGGGAGCTTCAAGATATGGTCACAGGGGATGTCATTTCCTTAAGGCAGGATTGGATTCCAAGAGAGGAACCTCCAACAGAGAGAAAATCACCAGACTTGACTGACCCAGGCCTTTAAGAATGTTGCTCCATTCATTCCTAGGCTCCTCTCACTAATAGCCCCTTAAGCCCCAACTTTTTTTTTTTTTTTTTTTAAGACAGGGTCTCGCTCTGAGTCAGCTGGGTTGAAGGGCAGCAGCATGATCATAGCTCACTGCAGCCTCAACCTCCTGGGCTCAAGTGATCCTCCCACCTCAGCCTCCCAAGTAGCTGGGCCTACAGATGTACACATGCCTGGCTAATTTTTGTATTCTTTGTAGAGATGGGGTCTTGCCATGTTGCCCAGGTTGGTCTTGAACTCCTGGGCTAAAGCAATTCTGCCGCTTCGGCCTCCCAAAGTGCTGGGATTACAAGCTTGAGCCACTTTTCCTAGCCCCAAACTTTTTTAAATTGGCTAATCGGGACTAAATATCATGAAAGAGTGCAACGTGGTCGGTTAAACAAGGACAGCCCTGTTGTCTGTGTCTGAAGACCACTGCACATTTCCCCAAAGCAAATTTCAAAGTGGAGAATTTAGAAACCCACTTCCCAGATGAGGGATCCTACAGAGAAGTGAGTCCGTGGAAATGATGAAATTGCCCGGTTCCTTTCTCTAAATTCCGACTTCCTTTCCCCAAGGACATCCCAGGAGGGTTCAAATGCGCGCTCTCTAAGGCGCCCTGCCAGGTCTCCTGATTTCCAGTTTCCGGGAGGTGAGGCCGGCTGGGGTGCCCCGCGGGCCTGCTCTAGAGAAAACCGCCCTCAGGTGAGGACAGCTTCCATTTCCGGGTCTGAAGATAAGGAATACGGTCTCCGCCCTCCTGCCTGCCGCCCTCACCCACTGACCACGCCAGTCAGTCTCCAGGGTTGCCCTTGGCCTGGCCCCCGGGTCTCGGTGGACCTTCGACCCAGGCCTCCCAGCTCTGGCCTCCTGCATCCACCCCGCCCCGACCTCAAGCTGCTTCCGGAATAGAATGAACGCCAGCTCATTAAGTTTCGCGGGGAGGTGTGTCCACCCGCCCCGCGCCGCGTCGGGTCACACTGTCGCACTTCACTCGCACTAGCCAGTGGCCAAAGTGCTTGGGCACCTATTGCGCCAGGCCAAGAACCGGAAGCCTTACCTCGCACTCACTCCAACTCTTTGCCCCACATTCCCGATGAGAACATGGAGACTCGGAGAGATTAATTTGCCCACGTGCAAGCTGCAGCTAATGGGCGGACTCGGAACTTGAACCGTGCCCCTCCTAAACCTGCCCCTTGTCCGCCGCAACGCGCCCTCGACGCGCACAAAACCCTCACTTTGATACAATGAGGAAAGTTACTCAATGGCCAGAGACACCCTGTGGCTTTTGAAAAGAGATTTCAGGCTGACAAATTTCCATATATATATATAAAACGACTCTTTGGTCCCTCCCCTAAGACCTCCTTCCCGTCCCCCTCAGCCTCAGTATCACCCCCACCCACCAGGTAGGATCCCTAAGGAGGAGTCTTCATTCCTCCCAGGCAGGGAGACCACGCCTTCCCTGCTTCCTCCCTCCGCGGGGGATCGCGTTGGAGGTCACCCCTGTCCCCCAGACGCTGGGTTGAGAGTGACGCGGGGTGGGCTGGAGACGTTTCCCGCCCTCTGGGAAGAGTAAATGGGCCGCCCACCTGCCGGGCCTCGGCCGCCCGCACCTGCT